TTTTCATCATTCTCCCTCCAATCTTTGCTTAAACAAAAGTTTGATAAAGATAAGTGAATGAGAGAATTATTGATATATTTTTTCTTTTATTTTGATATAAGATAAGAAAAATGAGTGAACACGAAATAATTGATTCTGAAAATGCATGATCACTTCATTAATATTAACATTAAAAAACAACAATGTTTTTAACAATAAGTAGTATTTAAAAGACAAAGAAAATGCAAATGATAAAAATAACTTAATGATTTTCAGTGTTGAGGAAACTCTCTCATACCCTATTCATTGCTTGGTTGGCCTTTTTACCCACCCAAAGGTTGGGGTCAACATGCTCGTCAAAATTGGTATGATGGCCTCCAAATTATTTTCCTTCAGCCTCGTCACAGGATGTAGCCATTTTATATTTATCTCCCATTTCTTATTTGCTTCCACTTGCGTGTGTTATGGCATTGTAGTTCTATGGTGCTATCTAAACATTCTCGCAGGGAAATAATGACATCTCATTATCCACATGTTCAACATTTTCCTTGTGGTACATGATCTTAAGAGTTTTTAGAAATCCCTTATTTTCCTCATTACATGGATTAGGAATCAAGACATCAGTATCTGAGCCTTCTTGCTTGAGGGCTGGTGACCTTGCTTCGATCAACCTTGGCACGTTCATCTTAAAACTCATGCAGTCTTAAATAGAGTGCTCAACCATTCAAGTATGGTATTCACACTTAACCTGTAGATGGTCTTCTACAAAGACTAGGCTCTTGTTGTCTATCAACTATCGTACTTTAGCTTTCAGAGCCATACAAGTATCCAAGCAATATCCTACTACCCATCCATGGTACTCGCATGTTGCATTTGGGTTGTACCATGGCGGGTATAATGTTGGCTGTTAGATGCCAAACTTTACTTATTTTCTCTATCAAATATTGGCATCTTTCACTCTTTTTATGGTGAAAGTGATTAGAATCACTCTAGTTTTAGATGATTTGCTTCATTTTTGATATATGCCTTGGTTGCTTTGATTTGTGTGTTATTGTGCAGGAATTAGGCATAAAATAAGTGAATATTAAGACACAAGAAATTGGGAAAGGAAACCAAGACAGCAGAAAAACATCATAAAACTCGTCGTGCAAAGCTCCTAGCGAAGCTTGCCAAAAAACTTCACAAAGCTCGCTAGACGAAGGAGGCAGCGAAGAACTCGCTAGGTGAAGAGGTAGTGAGTAGGTGTCGCGGTGAAATTTGGATACCAAACTATTGATTAGTTTGAATCGTTAATTCATTTTGCAACCGAACTTTGATTTGTCCAAAGGAAGGGATAAAGATCGAAATTCCCACAATGCAATGCAAATGCAAGCTAGATTGTTATAGGTTCGGGGGTTGGTTAAACTTAGGGAAGGTACTAGCATCCTAAGTTTCTGTAGTACTCTACAGGAACCTCTTATTTTGTGTTTGTTTACTGCTATGGTTTATCTGCTTAATGGTTGAAAGACCCTAGTGGTTTATATCTAAGTATACTCGATAAGGTGTCGCACCTTGTGCCTACATATCCTTACGGGAGTGGAATCAGAGTATGTTGTAGTTCACCCTAAAGGGTTAGAGGAGCTCTTTGACTGTGGTCAAAGTTCCTACGAGTTTAGGGTAGTTGATTGATTGGGTCTAGGAGAAGAGACGAGTCTTCATGTTAAGGGAGAGATAACCACCACAAATGTAAGAGGGTTGTAGGAAATGGTCTTTGCATCGTCTTAAGAAAAGGTCTTACATACTCGGATGGTCGCCAAGTATGCCTTTGTCGTTCTTAAGGCAAAGTCCCTACATGTTTGATTGTATTGTTGTGGGGGTGGAGATTATATCTCACTTAAGATGATTAACATCTATCCTCTAAATGTGTTTGTAGAAGTTGTATTGTGTTGATTGTTTGTTTCTATGTTGTAAAGATAAAGACAAAGGTCCTTCCTATGGGGTTGGATCTATCCTAAAGATCAACTTGAAGAATCAAGGATCGAAGGGAATATGGTGCATATGATGTGCAACTACACACAACGTTGAATTATGTGTAGGTTTTTCCTTTGGACGGAATGCGATGTATGAATAGATAAATATGATAATGTAAATGTGATAGAATAAATTGCAGAAGAGTAAATTGCAGAAATGTAAAGCCATACACGAACGCATGAAAGCGCTAAGTGAGTGTGTGTGCATTGTGAATAAGATAAAGCAGATAAAGATAATACATACGCATGAAAGCGCTGAGTGTAGGTGCATGTGTCGTGAAGTGATTGCGCACAATTGATTTTATAGTTGAAATTGATTAAGTTGTTTTGCTATACTGTGAATTGATTTTAGAGGAGAGCGAATTGTTTTTAAAAGTGGCATTATAAAAAGATTAATTGTCGAGATTGATTATGAAATTGACTTTAGTTGGAAATAATTTTAAATAGGATTTACTAAAAGTTCTTTTTATGAATATCATCAATAAAAAGTCAATTTAATTTAAAAGGGGATTTATTATTATTTATTTTTAAAAAGGTTATTATTATTTTGAGATGAAAGTAGATTAAATCGAATTTTATTTAAAAGGTTGAATAAGTTTTAGATGAAAGATTAAGCATCTAAATTATAAAATAGGAGTTTTTGTGAATAATTTTATTTGATTAAAATGAAAAAAAGTTAAATTATTAATGTATTAACCATTAATACGAATTAAATTGAATTAAGGTTTTTCAATTAAAGGTATAATAGAATGAGTTGTATACTTTTTTTTTTTATAAATAAAAAGGTTTTGTTAATAAAGTGTTTTTTTTTTTTAGCCATTATTAAAATAGAAAATTTATTTATTAAAATTAAAGTTGTTTAGAAAATAAAAATGTGAATGGTTATATAATGATAGAAATTAAGTTAAAGAGATAAATTTGATTAAGATTAAAGGTTGTTAGTTATCTTAAAAGATTAATTAATTAATTTTAAAAGAAAATTAAGGGGTGATTAGCGGTGATTAAGGTGGCTAATGACGTGTGTGTGCAGTGATGTGAGTGGATAATATATTGGATTACAATAATAAACAAAAATTAAGAAAAAAAAAAGGGGGGAACGATGAACCCTAATTCAACGAATCCCCAAACCCCATCTTCTTTCTCCGCGGCCAACTCCACTCGATCGCCTCTCGCCCTGAACCATTCTCCCTCATCTTTCGAATTCTTATTCTTCTAAATCCTGAAACACAACAAACAATCAACAAGTTCAATGCTTTTGCAAGATAATGAGAGGTTACCGAAGATTGGTGAAGCGGTTGATCAGATGCGATGGAGACTCGGGCGACGACGGCGGTGGGACTCCTTCTGAGATAAGTCTTTCCACTTGGTTTTTCCTCTGTGAATTGATTTATGGATTTCTGACGTGGTTGAGTGTTGTGCGTTTTTCGCTTGTTAGGGTTTTGTGAAAAATGTTTGTGATTTTCTTTGGATGTTTAAGCTTTGTGGATCCCGATTTCTTTGTTTCGTGATGTCCCCCTTTTATAACCTAAAATGTGTTAATGAAATTGATTGCCGCCTTGAACCTTCCTTTTTTGTCTGTGCGAAATTTGAAACCTTTCCTAACTGGGATTTCAAATCTTTGATTGTGGTTTACACTGAGATTGGATTTGATTGGATATCCCCTGAATATTCTTCATCGATTAATATCCAATCACTAACTTGCAATTGGTTTTGACAGGTGTGAACAGCAATAGCCTTGGGCCTGGGAAGGATTAGCGGTCCAGAAGGAAAAGCTTGCAACTGTTACGTTTTGGTGAGGGTGCAGAAGGAAAGGAGGAAAAGCGCGATGCTTGCATTGCTTGTCTCATATTTTGGTGCGAACTCTGAATCCTCTCAAGTTCCTACTTGTTTAACTCTCTCAAATTACTCAGTTGGTGCGGTGTACAAATGCAGGATGTTTGCAGGACTTGGAAAGGGTGAAATCCAGTTGCCCAAAGCTGCGATATAATAGTATGCTAGGTACTGCGGGAATTCTTCGGCCATTGGTTTGGTAATGCTGTAATTTTCTGATTGACGGTTGTTGCCTGAAGGTTCAATCAGCTATTGTTCTTTTTGTGATGATTGCCGACGTCTTGCGAGGTATAAATCTCAACTCTTTTAAAGCTGAAATGGTCTGTTGGATATTGCCTTGATGGTACTGATGCAGAGTTTCTGTTAGGCAGGTTGAGGGATCACTTAGAATGGTTCTCATCAGTTTGTGGTGCTTGGTGCAGATATGGATGCTGCAGTTGTTACTAATTTGAAGGTAGACACTGCCTCTTGAACTTCAGTAGGGGGGAAGTGGTGCTTGGTATCCTTGGATGAAGGATGCAATTGCTGCGTCTCCTGGCCAGTTCCTTAACGGTTTCTCTGTGTTCTTGTGTAGTCGTAAAACTTGCAGGTAGTCTAGATGGACGTCGTCCAGCTGTTGGGGTCAATATTTGCAGCGGCGAATCGAACCAAAACTACCTGAGAGCGAAGTGCCTTCTGTGATGGGCTTCATCTTATTCAGGTTTGGGGCTACCTTTAGGATATTATGGTAGTGGTTGGCTTCGGCAATAAAGCTGCTTGTGAAGCTTCATCTGCGTGACGCGGATTTAGGCGGCTCTTTTTGAATGATGCTGCTACAGAGGTTTTGGTTTTGCTGAGTTTCTAGTTGATTTACCATGTGGATTGCTTGGGTGTGTTGCAGGATTGGCGAGAACTATGAGTTGTAACCAGAATGGCTTCCGTTTTGATCTGAGGTCCAGTATGTCTCGTTCCAACTTATTTCTTTCCTCTATTATCTCCCTGAGTACATTATGATATGGTGGAATGGTGTTTTGATTGAAAGAAAATGTGGCTGAATGTCTCACCATAATGACTGCAGGTTGGAGCAGCAATGAGCCCAACTTGCTCTTTGGATTGGCAGGGTTTTCAAACTGATTGAGCATAAAATTATTAGGCGTCTTCGCTAATAGCTCGTCCGCTTTCTCAAAAACACCATCAACTCCTTTAGCAGGATCTGACAGATATACATCCGCTCCGAAAGCTCGCAAGATAATTTTTCTCAAGGCTCGCATAAGACGGTATAGTCACTAAAAGCTTATAGCCTCTCAGTGCTGCTACCGACGCCAATCCTATGCCGGTGTTACCACTTGTAGGCTCAATAAGGGCAATCCTTCCAGGAGTAACTAGGCCCTTGTTTTCAACATCTTCAATCATGCTTAACGATATTCTATCTTTAACATTGCAGCAGGATTGCAAGTATTCTAGCTTAGCAGCGATTAGAGCAACACAGCCTTCAGTGATGTTGTTAAGATGTACCCATGGAGTATTCCCTATTAATTCAGTAGCGTCTTTCTTGATTGCAAACTGTGTCTCCATGATACCTGATGAAGAAAGCCTGCAAAAGCTTGATTCTAACATGATGTGCAACTAGAGTGAAACTGAGGTGGAACCAATGAATCTAGGGTTCGAACTTCTTCGCGAGAAAGGCGTTTGCCACCGTTCACAATCCTGGAGCGGGGGGAAAAGGGATGCCTTTATTTCATGATACGGTAATCTTCTTTTCATCTCAAAATACCAGCAAGCAGATTACTGAAGCTATTGAGTGATGCCGCATAACGTCTTTAATTCTTATGGATGTTTCTGAATACTTTGATTTGTTGCAGGTAAAACAACTCCAAAACACTTTCTATCCGTTTGTAAGCATGCTGTCACCTCCTGCTGGGATAAGTCTAGTAATGCATGGCTGTTGGTATCGGCTTGCGGAAGATCTTGCTGGCCATGTTGATTGCGTCTTGGGAGCTATAGTTATAAACATCCCTTCTTCTTTTGTATCTTTCAACCGGCGTTGCACTTACTGGCGCCCTGTCACCATTCACGTGCACGGCCGTTCTAGCGGCGGTCTCATCACTTGACCAAGCTTGGCACAGATGGCTTCGAGGTTTAGCATTAGGAGTTTTGAAATTGGAGACTTTACTTTGCATTCTGAAGGATGTTGAAAGTCTTCTTCCAACTGAACCTTTGGGATTTATTTTGTAAAATTGGATTAAAACTTCATTTGAGTGGTCTTGGATTTTGTACCCTTTGGATGAAATTTTTACTTAAATAAATCCTCTTGAACTAGGATGAGATTTGGCATTAAATTTGAATTTTTTTGTTTCGAACAAAGATGGAGCTCGAATAAATCACTCTTGAGTTTCAAAATGGTTGAACAAAATTGATCCAGCTTACGACTTACCCCGGATACCTTGGACTTAATAGATGTTAGAACTTGGAATCTCTTTAAATCCGTTAATTGAATTTGTGCTCCGAAACAAGGAAGTTATCTTGTGTAGGCCAGCTTTAAAACGAATAGTCTGATGCGGTAACATTCTCATTTTGTCATCCTTTGACAATATTAATTAACCCACCACCACGTATGAATATATGCCCACACTTAATTTCCGAGTATAACATATCATGAGGAATCCATCTCACTAATGTCAAGCTAAAGTAGATGGAGCCATCATATATTAAACCTGAATTCTTTGAACGGTGAACTTTGAACCCAATGTACTAGTCACATCCCTGGGCAGTTTTGATGTAAGCATCAATACCTAGAAGTTACTGCACCTTAAGATTGGTTAACCATAATACGCACGCGTACAAAAATAAAATAAAACAAGCAAGAAGAGACAAGGAGACGGGGTCTTATGGTCAAAAATTAGGGTGCAACAGATGCCCCTATTTAAGTTACTCCTATTCGGAGATATGGAGATCGAAATCTCCGTCTCGACGAGATAGGAGGGACTTAAATACAAACATTGCGCGAATTTTTTGGCCATAGGAAGCCACCGAATGTAAATGATATGCAATGATATGAGAATGCAAGACAAATGATCCTGTGGAGAAAGGGCGCCACAGGGGAGGAACTAGATACGACATGTGGGAAGGACAAACTCAACAAAAGGAGACTCCACGAGGACGGGAAACAAACATCACTGGGGAATCCTCAGAAGTAAAACAGTATCTCATACACCAAGGACGTGGTGATGGAAAATAAACTTTTAGTCGAAGGATATGCTTATTATCATAATGTTGTGGTTGGTAATAATCCAGATGAATTGAGTTGATGGTTCATCCTTATTTTCCTTTTTTTCTCTTTTTTTTGTTTTTTTTGTATATCTTTTCTTTTGGAACTCAACTTGAAATAGTAAAATGTATGACTTCCCCTTGCACCATGGTATGGGAACCATGAGCTGGTCTCGGTCTCTGATGTCGAACTTCCCCTTGCACCATGGTATGGGAACCATGAGCTGGTCTCGGTTTCTAATGCCGAACTTCCCCTTGCTCCATGGTATGGGAACCATGAGCTGGTCTCGGTTTCTAATGCCGAACTTCCCCTTGCTCCATGGTATGGGAACCATGAGCTGGTCTCGGTTTCTAATGCCGAACTTCCCCTTGCATCATGGTATGGGAACCATGAGCTGGTCTCGGTTCCTACCCAAAATGATGGAAACTCGTGAGAGCGTCTTCAAAGAGGGGTTGTAAATTTGTTGATTGTAGATTGTATGTTGTGAATTGTAACACTGTAGAATTGTTGATGTAAATGTTGATGTTCGGTTGTGAGCCATAGTGTTATTGTAGATTGTATGTTGTAGATTGTAACACTGTAGAATTGTTGATGTAAATGCTGTAGATGTACTTTGTAATTGTAGAATTTTGTAGATTGTGATCTTGTACTTGTAATTGTAGATGCAATTTGTATTGAATTGGCAATTTGTAGAGCATGCACCGGGGATCCTCAGAGGAGCTGTAAACCGGTTGATCTGTGGAGTATCCTCTTGTAAGGAGATATGTCATTGTTCGTACTCGTAATGAGCTCTCTGAGGAAGATCATTTTTGAGGTATCTTTGTTGTAATTGTAAGATATGCGAAATTGTAGTAGTAGAAATCCTCAAATGGGGAAATATCTGTAACGTCCTCTGTTTTGCCTTGATAATCTTGAAATACTCCATTGGGGAAGGACAGATTGTCTTGAGGAGATCGTTGTTTGTCGTTTTTGAATATAAGTCAGCCCAAGACAAGTTGCTCAAATAAAGAGATCTTCTGTCATTCCTGTAAGTTGTCGAGTGGATCTTGTAATGTTGTTGAAGAAACGTTGTGTCTTCAAATGGTGATCCTCATAATGTCAAAGTGCAAAATAAATGCACTCTTGACTTGTGTTCAAACTTTGGAGATGTTCATAGCGTGATTGTCAAAGACCGAAGTTCAATTCGGGAAATAACCGAAGAGAAACTGTCAAGCAAGATTCAACCATAGAGGCATAAACTCCAATGGGAAAGTACTGAAACAACTGTCTTCCACGAGGATCGAACTTCATGGGGAAATAGAAGCATTGAGTTTTTTCTGCTTAGGGCTGACAACTCTATTTGGAAAGAGAAGACACGCCCAACCACCCAAGGGTAAACGCAATCAAAGAGATAGAGTGAAGCGAACAAGGGATGCACAAAATGTAAATGTTATGCTATCTACTTATATGATATGCGTATGCTTATGCTGACAAAACAGACGAAAGCAACGACCGAATACGAGATGGGGTAAACATCTCGGAACAAACATCCGACCAATCTTCAAAGATAGAAGTATCACTGAGGATGGATGGAGAACCAAATGTAGGGTCCCAGTACTGCTTCAAAACTTCAAAATTTCTCTTGAGAAAGAGTGATCAATCCACTTGGGGATGTAACATCTTGATAAGTTTGAAGTGTTGTACGAAGTCGTAGACGGAGGTACCCAAACCGAAGTTTCATAGGGGATAAAGTAAATATCCTGGGTCGTCATAGTTGTTGAACATGTTGGGGTTGAGCTTCCTGAGGATGAGATATACGATCTTTTGCTTCAATCTTCCAATGCCCCAAGTCATATGGTTTAAAAAACACCATCTAGAGAGGATTTTACAGAAAACATGATGTCCCAATGCCCCACTGTTTTCAAACTCTCTAGAGATTCACCGAATCTCGACGTAACTGCCCCTGATTGGCGGTAAGTGAGTCCTTGAATTTCTTCTAGTTGAACCCAAGACTTGCGCGGATGAAATTTTCTTGGGAAGAATGACTTGCCCCAAGTCAGCAAAGTCTTCAAATATCATCATCAATGTCTGTATGTGGTCTTTCTAAGATGTCAAGCGTATTTAGCACATTTGAAATATCCATTTTGAAATGGTTAATGCAACACGCGTTTGTCTTGAAGTTTTGAAAAGGGGTATCGCAATAACTTGTGATCGAAACCACTAGTTAGGATACAAATTGAATCATTATTTATAAAGCCGATTTAAATTTGAGCATAGCTCAAGGAGTCAGGAAACAATATCTCATCGAGTATGCTTTCGAATTAAACCTTCCTTCAATTAGGACTTTGAGGGTCGTATATGGGTTTAATTTATGACTTGTAGAATGGAGGAAGAAAGGGTTAGTATATTTGTGCCCACCCAATTTTTGAAGATGTTTATTCTTTTTTTGGTGATTACCCTGCCCCTGGTTAAGAAAATGAGGTTGGAAAGGGGAAAGAGAATGGATCCTCAATCAAGGTTTAAAAGAAAGGGTTGACTATGTTGGCGTTTTAGGAGGTTTAAAATAATGCCTTACATCATCAGTAGGGTTTTTATTCGAAGCATACAACAAGAGATCATATGTTTTACTTCATCATCCTCCTTCCAATTCTCTGTCAGAGTAAGAGATCGGGTAAAAGTCGGCATTATAAATAATTTTGAAAAACTATTTGAGTGAAAACGAATGGATTTCTTCAAGACAAACAGTTATTGCATTACTTATTCAAAACAGAAAGTTCTTACATGCAAAATATGCTCTTAACCAAAGAAATAAACACGCAAACAAACGAAAGAAATAGAAAGTTCTTTTGGAGTTTTCACTTATATCAGCGTAATGGTACTCCATTCAGGACCGGTCTTTCTCCTTTGAAGGTTAGCACTTCATTATCGATCATTTCTTGAACTTTTCCTTGAAAAACTTTGCAATCTTCGATCGAATGCCCCCAACACTCCATCATGAAATTCACAGCTGGTGTTCGGGTTGAACCACGGTGGGTGAGAGTTCATGGTTCTAGTCTTTCTAGGTGTCATTACCGAGTTTCGGATGAAATAAAACCATAATTGACGGTAAGTCAATGGGATAAGATCAAACCAATAAGTTTCTTCTTTCAGAGTATTCAGAGGTACTTTCTGATTCGGAAACTGTCTTCGAATATGTCGATGCTGATCTGGAGATGGCATCCTTCATTTAGGAGGTAATTGCTGCTCGCGCTGAGCGGGCATTGCATACTCATGTTGAGGACGGGATACCGAAGCTGTGGATTCTCTGGGAGATCCTTTGTCATCTTTA